GACCACTGAACATAAAATAAGCTTCCAAACAGTCTTTCAAGTTGTAAGTTTCATACAAGAGTTAACTCTCATCACGGCCAAGGCATGTACGGTACAGCAGCTCAAGTAATTACAGGTCAGCTTCAGCACTAGAAGGATTATTACATTCCCATACATTCCCCTGAACCTAGGTAATGAGAGAGAAAGAAAGAGAGACCCAGCTTCTGTTCTTTAAAAATAAGTACAATTCAATGTATTTCAATGTGCACTTGGAGTATTTTGTCACCATAGAACTTGTGTTCTATTTGCTATTCTAAATAGAACAATAATTTTCTTTGCAATCATGGTTCATGAATAGTTTCTAAAGGCCAAATCCTAGTCTTGTTGCAGTCAATGAAAAATATCCATTAACTTCACTGGGACTAGGATTTGGCCCCAAGGTCCTATTCTGAAACACTTGGCTGAGAAATGGTACTGCTCAGGCATCACATTCATTTTGATTTGTAGTGAGTTTTATGATCCTTCACAATCTTTGGAGCCATACCCGAGGGAGACTGGAATTAAAGAGAGGGAATCATTGCACTGTTGAATTGACAGGAGCTTGCATAGCTCACCAATCAGATGGTGTTGTTACAAGGACTAGTGAAGAGATCTGAAGATAAATAGAAGAGGGAAAGAGCCATGAATAATTAATTTCTTTTATTTGTAGTGGTAGCAGAAAGTTCATTAAACTGATTTTATCTGGAAAAATTATAATACAGCATCTTGCTGGTATATAGACTAATCAATGCTAGAAAATAATAATATCCACGGGTTATTTTCACACTGCAAGTTGTTTCAGTGTTCCAATCTTCCTCAGAAACACCGACAACTAGCACCAATATAAAATGGAATCAAATCTCTGGCACAGCTCTAGATTTACTATACCAGAGAATTAGAGAACTGGAATCTGAAGCATCTCAGAATTTTACCAGGCAATATTGCTCAAATCATGGGTAGCATACTAGCACAGCATCACTATAAGAAAGCATGAATCCCTACCACTACAAAATAAGTCACAGTCTATGAAAAAGAAATACACCACAACAGGATATGTTTGCATAAAAGGCTACACTACTTAAACTAGCTTGATTTATATGTGCAGGTAGAGACATCTTTAAAAGAGTAAAGGCTCATCTTTTAATACAGAATGTCTTACAAATGATGACTACCTGAATACTTCAATGAGCTTATTGTGGCAATTTAGATTACTGTAAACACAGGAGATAGAAGAAGAACAGAAAACAATTTCAAAAGATCAGAGATGATTTAAAACTCATAAGGAGAAATCGCTGACAGTCTTTGTTCTTATATCTGTTATCACATGACACATTTTTCCTCAATGTAGTGGTTAACACTTTGGTATTGCTTCTCAGTAAACAATTTCTGAGAGACATATTGTTCATCTCAGATAATTATTATTGGCACTATTCAAAACTGTGAGAATTAGGGGACTATAAAACATTCAGTTCTATCAGTTCATTTACTGCTATTAAATCCTTGAAAAACAACTTGACAATTTAAAGTAAAATATTAATGTTGGAAGACACATCTACATTTCAGTCATGTATCAAATTAAGGCAAATTACAGATAACATTAATAAAGTTTTGTGAACTAATTGCATGACAATATGTGATCTAAATACAATTCAGCTAAAACAAACTAACAGATGTTTACAAACTTTGCTGGTCAAAATTATGCAGAGTTTTGACTCGAATGCTAGCAAAAGGAAGGTTTCTTGGGCAGTCAAAACAAAATCCAGTTTCCAATGACATTTGTTTTGAATTAAGGAGGCATTTTTGCTTAATTAAATTATCTAATTTAGTAAAACTGTAGAAAAATAAAGGCGATGTAGATGAAAATACTAAAAATAACTAAAGATTCCGATTGAAGTCGCAATTAGTTTAACAATGTGAATGAAAATCATTATAATGGTTTAAGTATTGGCAGCATGAGCAGGAAATTTGGGCATATGGGTTACCAGAACTCACTGCATCTTGCAGTAAAATATTTATTGGGAACACTATTTCTTAATATTTACTGTGCATTTCCAACCTATCTGAAATGTAAGCAGAACAAAAATAAAATTTATTGTATATAATTCACTTTATTAAAGTTGATAATTTGATGTACATTTTTATGTGTGTTAAAGATAATTGAAGGAGATATGAGTCATGTACTATTCCCTAGATTTTTGTTATTTTAAGAATGCTTTCAAATTAATTTAATAAGATTTAATATTTTAACAAAGTTGAAAGTTGCTACCAAAGAAGGTAAACAGATTACTTTCCTGCTTTAAAAAGTAAATGTGTATTTTGTAGAAAACAGATGTCACTCATATCTTTTCTTTAAAAATAAGAATGTTTAACCTATAAGCCTGTTGCATTTGAGACGTTAAAATGAAAAATGACATCTACGCCCATTAATATCTTCAATGTATAAACAGCACAGCATGACACATTCTTGAGAGCTGAAGGCTACAAAATCTCTCTGAAACATAAATAACAAAGCACTCAGAAGCATATTTGATGTTGATATTCATCTCTGAGAAAAACACTGCTGCCTGGGCTTCTTATGAAAATAGATGCAGCCCAAATGGATCTCCTGTAATTGGTTTCAGATAGCGAGGTCAGAAGAAATATGATACAAGAAACTATTATGTGGAACAGTCGAAACAAGAATGTTTATACAGGCACTCCTCAGTTATACTGACAAACGGTGTATATTTTGCAGATAACCAGAACCAAAAAACTTGCCAGAAGACAGCCAGATTCTTTCACCTTTCCACCCCAAAATCCCTATTTTATTTTGTTAAACGATTGACTGTTTTAACTTTGACCACTGAACATAAAATAAGCTTCCAAACAGTCTTTCAAGTTGTAAGTTTCATACAAGAGTTAACTCTCATCACTGGTAGCACCATGTATGCATGTATGCATGCACATGCACTTAGTTGAGTTAAAGACAAGAGGCCTCAACTTTATTAACTGGAGAGCAGCAAATTAACCAAGTGATTCTACAGCTACATTTAGTCCCAGCCATTAGATCAGTGGAACCTTTGGCCCTCCAGGGTATTACACTGAATCCCTCCTTTCCCCTAATGACTCAGCTTCACAAGCCCAGAATTGTATAGGCATCACTTTCCCTTAAGGAGATTTAGGCCTGCTTGTAGGGGAACCACACATCTGTGTATGATTCTTCCTAGTACTAATCCAATGATACTACTAAACTCCTTTGTTGCTTAACCTATGATTTTGTTATCTGAAAAAGGTAATGGGGACAAAGCTCTCTAACAAACAGCCCACAGGTTACTAGCCACTCAGTAATGACAACTGACAAACATTCCAAACTAATCTCCATAAGTTAGCAAAACTATCATTCCAAGGCTCTTCAATTTAAGAAGATCTGAACCACCTACAACTACAAACCACGCTGCCCAATGACCCTTTCTGGATACACCAAAGGAAAGCAAACCCAAACTTTACCAAGGGTCAGTCTAATCTGCCTTGGTGAAAAAAAATTCCTTCCTGACTCCAAACATGGTGATGAGGAAACCT